GTCTTGTGATCCTGAGATTATACTCCAGTTACTTTGGATTTGAATGTCTCCAGATAGCCCCAGTTACATATTTGAATACATCTGGATTATTTTTTAGGTTGATAAATCCTATCAAGACTTAAGAGTAACTTTATTTTCAACCTTTGGCAGCTCCTGGCCTAACTCTGCAAGTCCCAACAACAGTCATGTCTGGAGACAGTGGCACTGTTGGTGTAAACTTTCCTCTTTGACTGGTTGTTCCAAAACTTAGGAAGGACATTGTGGTTATTGACGCAGATCACAAACTTAGATCCTTAGTTGCTTTGTCTTAGATTATTTGCTGACATATTTTTATGAGTTTCAGAGGGCTGTAGGCCTGCATGTAAATAATTAAAATAGCATCGTCTCACTTGAGTATTTGAGTGGAGACAATACTAACGGGCAGAGTAGTTTAGGCTGCTTCCTTTGCATAGAAGCAGCTGGTTTTGACCCTCTTTCCAGTACTGCTGTGAATAAGAGTTTTTAGGAGTGTTATCAGTAGACATTTAGAAATAAAAAAAAATCAGATGTACATTTAAGAATACTTTTTCATGAAAGAGAATTTTGATTGAAGGCTTAGATATTCTATGACTATTTTTATATAGATTAAGTGTCAATTTGCAGAAAGGATATAAGGAATAAGAGAAATGAACATGGAGAAGAAGCAACATTTCCTCCTTGTCTGCTACTTTTAGAGAACTTTGCTTTTCTTGATAGATCCATGAATTTATTACGCTTCTGTTAGACTATGATTTTGTTCACGAGACTCAGGAAAACAAGAACTGTGAAGTATTAAATAGTGTTTCTACTTTGAAGATGTTCAACATAATTTAATCTTTGTCTTACTGTGTTTTAATCAAGAAACTTTTGCTTCAATGTTTATTATACAGTCAAAACTCAAGTTTGAGTTATGTTCTGAAATGTGAGACTCAAGGACCCAGGAGATCCTGGGCACTCATCCCAGCTCCAGCACTAACCCCACAAAGTGTGGAACTCTGGGCCTCGACCATTGCATCTTCTTGAGTCTCATTTGTGAAATAATGATATTATGTCATCTTTATCTTCTGTTGTTGTTGTTCGGTCACTAAGTTTTGTCTGACTTTTTGCTACTGCCATGGACTGCAGCATACCAGGCTTCCATGTCCTTCACTATCTCCTGGAGTTTGCTCAAACTCATGTCCATTAAGTCAGTGATGCCATCCAACCATCTCATCCTCTGTCGCCCCCTTCTCCCCCTGCCCTCAGGCTTTTCCAGCATCAGGGTCTTTTCCAACGAGTCAGCTCTTTGCTTCAGGGTCATATCTTTGGTCTCCTGCATTGGTAGAAGGATTCTTTACCTTGCTGGGAAGCCCCTTATTTCCTATGATGCTATGAATTTTAAGATTCTATATGAATTATGTCTTTTGATGCTTGGCAGAAAAGAAGAAAAGGTTTCTTTGTCTTCTGTGTTATTCAGATTAATGCTTTAGACAAGGATATATCTCTATTTCAATCTAGAAATAGGCTTCAGAAATATGAACGATTATATTGAATTAACTTTTCAATTTTCATTTTAATTGACATTTCAAGGCTATCTAAAATTTATAGTATTTTAGAATTTCTTAAAGTATTATTCTTGTCAGCATTCATATTTTGAAGGAGAAGGCTTTAAAAAATATGCCTGTGCTAGGTACATTTCTAAATAAAAGAAATTTCAGGCTTTATTTCAGGCTTATTAACCTGAACAAAGTTCAGTAAGCAAAAAGAACAGGATGTAAGAAAGGAATATTTAGAACAAGAACACTCTTTGAGAAATTGCATTAAAACTTTTGGTCACAGAGTATAGCATCAATATTCCATAGCTGGGGTATGATTTTTGGCTTATAGTTCTGGTCTGCCCTAGCATTTTAAAGCCAAATTCAACAAAAAGCATGAAATAATATTTTAAATAAATTATTTAAGCATCTCTATTTTGAACTTCTCCTCCTAATTTTCTGATGTTCTGCTTACGCCCTAAAATCAGCCTTGGACTGTTGTTTCTTGACCTGGTCTAGTGTTGGTAATGTCAGCAGAACACTTTCCTTGGGCTGTTGTATGTTGGCTGTACTATTTTCAAAAGTACATAATGAAGACCTTGAGGAAGTGCATATAAATGCTAACCATGATTATTACTGCTGTTATAGAATTGTTGGTAGTGATTTTATCTTTTTTGTTTTTCACACTAATATTTTTTAGCCTATGGGAGTTTTACATTGCTAAAGAACCTTACAGTTTTGTCCTCCACATCTTTAGAGACTGTCGCATCCATTATCATCAACCATCACTTTGGAATGCATTTCTAAAACCTACCCCCAACTTTATTCCCAGCCAGCCAGCCAAGTTGCATTTCCAGAGACTTGCTGGGCATTAGTGTCACCTCAGATCTGATTTGTCCTATTTGAGTTTCCTTCTGTCCTTACTGGGGCTTCCCGGTTGGCTCAGATGGTAAAGAGTCTGCCTGCAGTGCAGGAGACCCAGGTTTGATCCCTAGATCAGGAAGATCCCCAGGGAAGGGAATGGCAACCTACTGCAGTATTCTTGCCAGGAACATCCCACCGACAGAGGAGCCTGGCGGGCTACAGTCAGAGAGTCCAACTGGGCTGAGCGACTAACACTTCCACTTTCTATCCTTATTCTCAGCTCCCGCTGAGAGCTGGTGGCACCGCGTTCTTTTGTGTTTTCTTAGAGGAGGGATTTGCAGTCTCTGGCCTTTGGGCCAAATCTGCTGCTTGTTGCTAATAAAGTTTTATTGAAACACACCCATTTAAGTACCGCGTCTATCTACTTTTACTCTAAGGTGACAGAGCTAAGCAGTTGCATCGGAAACCTGTGGTCACCAAAGCCTAAATTAATTCACTGTCTGGCTGTTTTTTTAGAAAATGTTAATCCTTGCCTTAGTCTCAAAACCTTGGCACCACCTTTGATTCATCTTTAAGCTTTCCCGAGAGAACGCATCTCCTTTTAACTTCTTTTTTTTTTGGATCCTCCCTGTGTGTTCAGGTCCTCATGTCCTTTTGCCTGGGGTACTCAATGAATTTCACCACCCCTTGGCTTCTTTTCCCCACGCAGTTCATTTTGCACCTCGCCACCAGGGTCCTTTACTCAGTTTGGCTCCACTTGGTGTCCACTCTGCCACCGAAACTTAAAAAATTTCCCCACTGCCCACTAAATTGGAGCCTGCCCAGCCTTTTTTTGTGAGGCTTCTTCCACAATATAAACCCTATTCATGTCCTTTACACAGAAATTTTCTCTGTAATGAAATGCTTTCCCCCAGCTTTCTCTCTTCTTGCCTTTGTCCATGCTGTAACAACTGCCTGAAGCTTTTTTTGCCTCCATTTCACCCTCTCCACTCCTGTGAGTGCATGCTCAGTTGTGTCTGACTCTTGGCGACCCTGTGGACTGTAGCCCACCCGGCTCCTCTGTCCCTGGGATTCTCCAGGCACCAAGACTGCAGTGGGTTGCCGTTTCCTTGGCACATGTGTTTGTGCATGTATATGTGTGCACATATCTATATGCATGTTTATTGTAAGATAATTTGTAATAGTGAAAAATTGGAAATGCCCTAAATGCCTATCAGAACAAGGTTAGTTAAGCTATAGTATACCTACATTGTTACGTTTAAAAAGGATGCGATTCCACTCCTGGGTGTATATCCAGGACATGTAAATACTAATTCAAAAAAATACATGCATCCCCAATGTTCTTAGCAGCATTATTTACAATTGTGAAGATTAGGAAGCAGCCTAAGTGTCCATCAACAGATAAATGGATAGAGGAGATGTGGTATATATTCACTATATACACAATGGAATATTATTCAGCCATAAAGAAGAACAGAATTGTGCCATTTGCAACAACAGCAGTGGATTTGGAGGGCGTTGTGCTTGATGAAGTAAGACAGAGGAAGACAAGTACTTTATGATACCACTTGTATGGGGAATCTAAAATATAAAACAGCTAGTGAATTTAACAAAAAATAATAGACTCACAGTGAAAACAAACTAGTGGTTACCAGTGGGAAGAAGGAAGATCAGGGTAAGGGATCAAGAGATACAAACTTAGGTATAAAGTAAGTTATGAAGACATATTATACAACATGGGGAATATAGCCAATATTTTATAATAACTGTAAGTGGAGTATAACCTTTAAAAACTGAATCACTATGTTGTGCACCTGTAACATATAATATTGTACTGTACTATCAACTGTATTATCGAATGTACTTCTATTAAAAAAAGTAGAATACAAAAAAAGGGATGAGGCTAATCTTTACGTAAAGACACAAATGATAAACAAGGTGTATTGAATGGAAGTTGTAAAATAAAGTATTGAAATATTGTTTCATCTTTGTGTATTTATAGTGAACACAGGTGTATTTACACAACATACCTGCATTGAGAGGGATTGTCTAGACATAAGCATAAATAATCTGTAACTTGTAGACATCTCTGAGGAACAGAAGTGAGAAGCTGTGTGAATTCTCCAAAGAGAGGGGGATATTATACCTTTTGTTTCTTTTCTGTTCAACTTTTTAAATGTATATTTTACTTTTATACTAGACAAAAAGACTAGGAAATCATATAGTATGTTTTAGGAACATTTTCATTAATATTTAAAATAAATATAACTTATTTGAATGGCTAATGTCTGTCTGGAAAATGTGGCTTTCAAGAATGATTTATATCCTTGAGAATTCCACATAAGTAAAATTTTTTTGTTTTTGAATGAGGCGGTAATGAATGACCTTACCAGATTGAACTGCCATGGTGTCCTTTACGGTGTGATAAATAGGCCCCTAGTTCCGAAGTCATATTATAAACTGTACTTTCTTGAAGCAGCTGTAAGAAAACCGTGTTTTGTGCTAGATGGGCTTGTTGAGTTCTAGGGAATGTATGTGCGCTAACATCGGTGTCCCAGGGTACACTTGTGAGGAAAAGAATTAACGCTGTTTTCTATCTTTTAGAAAAGCTCAAGAGGAGAACAAGAAAATAGTGCTTGCTGGTTGTGTTCCTCAAGCTCAGCCTCGTCAGGATTACCTCAAAGGGCTGAGCATCATCGGGGTAAGCTCGCGCCTGAGGGGAATATAGTCCCACACTGTTAAAACTTGTCATGGCCCCTTATTTTCTGTTTCCAGGTTATTTACAAGTTTGGTTACACTCCTGGCTGTCCTTCACACACTTTCCCTATTGTTGTGAAAATTTTGTTATGTCTTTGTAACATTTGAACCTAGCATGGAAACAGGTTCTAGGTTTTCTCATTTGAAAAAAAAAAAAAACACGCAACACAATAAAAAGCCATGGTGTGGAATTTAAATTTGTTAATTATAACCTGGTCTATGTCTGCCTGTCTTGCACTATCTCTTGCTGTTTCATAGTAAACAGATGCCTCTTTTGGAATGTCCCACTTGTGTCGTAGTTGTGCCCTGAATCTTGGTTTCACCGTTACGCTGTCTCAGTCTGTGCTGAGCGCTCTGTACCAGCCTCGACAATCCTGTCTCTTGGTTTCCCTTACTTATTATGCAGTTACCTTTCATTTACTCTCTCAGCATTTCACAGAGTCGTAAGTTTGGAGTTAACTTGTATGATGTTTTGAATACAGCCCACCTCTCTTTGAATTATTAGCTCCATGCCAGCAGCTTTTCTATCTTTTTTTAAAAAAACTCTCACCGTGTTTCTCCAGCCTTTCCCATGGTGCCAGAGATACAGTAGACAGTCTTTCAGTCAGTATTTGGTGCCTGAGTGAAAGAAGTTTTCCCGTTGTACTTTGATGGTTGGTGTGCTCCTTTCCCTGTTGGGCAGTAAGCTCTCTGAAGTCGGGAGACAACGACCTACTATCTTTGTGGCCATCACTATTCACACATGCCTAGAGGTAGTTAGCATTCGGATGGTATTTGTTGACCAAATGTTAGTGCTTCATCCTTTCCACCATTCTACTTCAGCTGTACTCACTGTACTCAGTGATAATCTTCTTTTAAAGAGGTTTCATAGTTTAAAAAATATATAAAAATATTACATGCTGATAGAAAAGACTATGTATAAAATCGCCATCTGGATTGAGACTCATTGGATTTTTTATTTCTATGATGTACTGTTGATAGGTTCTTATACTGTATTCTCAGTGTAATGAACTTGTTTTCTACTGTGAAGTTCTTGCCCCACTGGCAAATTTAATAATCTTTGAACAAACATTCTCCTGTTAAACAAACAGAACCTGAATGTTTGGGAACTTTAGTTTGTTTTTACCACTTGTCTGTTTACATTTTGATTTCTCTTGGTTTAAGGAATGAACTGAATATGGACTCCTGAGTTATCTTTTCATGTCAAACTAGCTTTCTCCATAAACATGATCCTGCTGTGTTAGGGAAATAGAAAACTAGTCAGAATGCTGTTTTAGAGACAAAGTGTGGTAAAAGCTTGGAATTCATTTTTGAGTTTATCTCAAGGAATTAACTTCCCAGAATAGTAGAATTTCTGCAGTATGGCAGAAGCCTCCTCCCTGTTTGCATTATAGGAACACTCCCCGGAACTCTGCTATGTGCTGTGAAGCGTTCAGTGTATGTGAGGATCTTGGAGAGATTCTCGATGTTGTAAGAGAGGATGCCAGTGCTGGGGATACGGGAGACAATTTTCAGAGATGATGTGACTCACGGATGTGGCAGTAAAAATTTTTCCCCATTTAACCTAGCATGCTTTGTGTTCTGTCTCCTTGTCTCATTTTATTACCTTTAAAATTCTTTAGATTTACTTAGTTTCTTCATAATTAGAGAAATAATACGTTTGAAAAAAGTGAGTAGAAGGAAAACTCATGATCCTCTCACCCTAACACAATACTTATAACTTTGCTTATTCTCTTCAGGGGCTTCCCTGGAGCCTCAGATGGTAAAGAACCTGCCTGCAATGCGGGAGACCTGGGTTCAGTCTCTGGGTCGGGAAGATCCCCTGGAGAAGGGATGACTACTCACTCTAGTATTTTTGCCTGGAGAATTCCATGGATAGAGGAACCTGGTGGGTTACTACAGTCCATGGGGTTGCATAGAGTCAGACATGACTGAGCGACTAACACTTTTACTTTCATCCTCTTCAGACTTTTTTTTAACCTCTGCATAGTTTACTTAATTGCAGTGTCAGAACTATTTTGTGTCCCTGTTTTTCTATGAGATTTTATCCCGTGAACTCTTTAACCATTTTAAGTCCTGTGTTAGTATTCTACTGAAGGATATACCACAAGTTACTTAACCGTTCTTAATTGTTGGATATAAGTAGTTCTCTAATTTTTAGGAAATATACATAATACAATAATGCTCATCACGGGCTTTCTATCTTAAGATCAGCATATTGTGAAAAGTTCCCAAAAGTAGAATTGCTCTGTCAATAACAACATTTCAGAGTTGTAATATAATTATATCTTCAGTAATAACTACTAAAGTATAAGATTGTTCTCTGTCAACATCCTTTTACACAGCATTTGTATATGTGGCAGCTATATGACATCTGTCATGACTGACTATGTATAAAAACCGTGTCCAGGAGAATGGAAATCTTAAAAAAAAAAAAAAACTGGAGAAGGAAACCAGTATCATTTATAATTGGCATTTGGAGAGATCCGTTTCTGAATAGGGCTTCCGTGATGGCTCAGTGGTAAAAAATCCGCCTACCAAGCAGGAGATGCTGGTTTGATCCCTGGGTGAGGAAGATTCCTGGAGAAGGAGATAGCAACCTACTCCATATTCTTGCCTGGAAAATCCCATGGACAGAGGAGCCTGGCAGGCTACAGTCCATGGGGTTGCAAACAGTCAGATACAATTTAGCGACTAAAAACCAACAACAGTAGTTATTGAATAGAACAGAAACAGTAGTTTCTGAATTGAATTGTTGAACTGCTACAAAATAAAAAACCCTCTGAAATATAGTGAGTTATAGTCAAGTAAAGAAACAAATTATATTGGTTTACCAATTTTAAAGTGTAAAACAATATGAAGATGTTTAAATTCAGTGATTTGGGAAACTATTTTTAGGAGGATATTTAGAATTGTATTAAACAGTTGATTTACAGACTGTGTGAAAACTGTTATTCCTTCTCAGTATTTCCCTCCCAGTGTTTCTATGATGGAGGCATTAATAGAGATGGAAGGAAGACCAGCTGTAACTGTCCTGTGCTTCCACCTCCTGCTAAGATTTGTCTTTTTGCCCCACAATCCAGGGAGGGTGGTCTGCACTGTTGACCAAGTGATTGAAATAAAAAAGCTTTAGATCGTGAGCAAGGTACTAATGACAACCCCGGGGTTAAAAAGACATTCTGTTCCATGTTTGCAAGTGCTCCTGGAGTAAGCATTTAAGAGGATGTTTACTAAGGAAGAATGATGTTTGTTACCGTTGGGACATGCTAATTTCCACCCATATCAGCCTTTAGAAATGGGGCATTGACATCAGCAGACGAATGGATAAGGAAGCTATGGTACATGTACACAATGGAATATTACTCAACCATTAAAAAGAATTCATTTGAATCAGTTCTAATGAGATGGATGAAACTAGAGCCCATTATACAGAGTGAAGTAAGCCAGAAAGATAAGGACCAATACAGTATACTAACGCATATATATGGAATTTAAAAAGATGGTAATGATAACCCTATATGCAAAATAGAAAAAGAGACACAGATGTAGAGAACAGACGTTTGGACTCTGTGGGAGAGGACGAGGGTGGGATGTTCAGAGAGAATAGCATTGAAACAAGTATACTATCAAGGGTGAAACAGATCACCACCCAGGTTGGATGCATGAGACAAGTGCTCAGGGCTGGTGCACTGGAAACACCCAGAGGAATGGGATGGAGAGGGAGGCAGGAGGAGGGATCGGGATGGGGAACACATGTAAATCCATGGCTGATTCATGTCAATGTATGGCAAAAACCATTACAATTAAAAAAAAAACATTTATTTTTAATTGCAAAAAAAAAAATGGGGCATTTAATTTGTTTCCATAATCAGAGATGGCAGTGTGGTGGGGGCACATAGTAATTGGTGATTTAACGCCTGCGCTTTATAATGTCATGTCTTAATGCCCTCTGAATCCAGTTGTGATTAATATTATCTGTGTGGGATAGAGAAAGAGGACAGAATATCAAAACCAGAGGTAATACCTATCAACCTCTGGGTCCAGAAGTACTGGCTTCGGTGGCAGTAATCTTTAGACTTCTCCCATCCTGGTTTTTTCCTTACAGTAGGAGAAGAGAAAGGACAGATTTGAAAACATATATGTGTTGGATAAAAAGATCTTTTTTAACCAAAACTCTTTTCCTAGTGTGATTAAATGGAGTTTATATGTAGAATATAAATTTATAATAAATTTATAGGTAATCAGTGAAGAATCAAGATTTTTTCCATTTTTAAGGGATCTTGAAATGTTTTACCTTACCATGAAAACTGTTACTTCTCTTTTGACAAATACTTATAGTTAACTATTCACCTTGCAATTAGTTTTCATGCAATGCCACCTTTTTTTTTAAAATCCCTGCTCTTAATTGTTTACATTGGTTACTCTGTGCCTAGCTGTAGGTAGTTCCAAGACTGTGTGACTGATGTATTGAATGCTATTTTTCTTCTCTTTGTTCATTTTTTGTCATGAAAGTTGCTTTTAAATTAGTTAGCCAGAAAGGATGTTCTCTTTTAAAGTTTGGTAGCAAGAAAGAATAGCAGACATCAGAGCTCTGAAAGCCAGACTTTAAATCCCAGGGTTGCCACATCATTCTTTCTTCTATTCAGCTAATACTTACCAAGTAACTACTGAGTGCTAGCTACTGTTCCAGGTGCAAGGGATGCAGTGGTTTATAAAATCAGCAGAGATCCTTGTCCCCACAGAGCTTACATTCCAGTTCTTGGGGAAAGAAATCTGGTTTGAGCGCAGCCTCCTGGAGGATTTGGTGGGATGGATGCCTAGGCAACAGGGAGATTGATGAGGTGGGAATTTCTTTGTAAGGGTCAGATGCAAATACACATTGTGTCCATCAGCTGGGAGTTCTGTTAGAATAGACAGATGAAATAGTATTTATTTACTTGAGCT